AAGGAAGGAGTGGTTCTAGGCCTTTAAGCTATAAAGCGTTATCTCAAATGTCACGTCAAGTTATCTTTGGTTATCGATGTCCAGTTGGAGTTCGACAGCAATCAGAAGATTGTTAACTTGAAGAGACCAAACCAAGAACTTGAAGACATTGAAGGCTACCCATTGTTCCTGATACTGAAAGATCTTGAATTTGGTGTCATCTATGAGAATGCTGATAGATCTGAGAGATTCCTGAGGTTTAGTGAACTGAACAAGTACTGTGACAATACAATAAAGGTAGTGCGGAGGGGACTTGAACGAAGAAAAGCTTCTGATGACAAAGCAACTGGACGTGAAAGGTTGAGTCCAAGAGAAAGGTTTTTACTGATAAGTGCTCTCGAACTGCTTGATGAGAAATTGCAATATCGAAATGCCTTAAGAAGGTGCGAGATGAATTTGGGGTTTCGAAGAACAAAATTTACTATGTCTCGAGCTTGAATCCAAATTGAGAGAATGTTGGGTTCAAAGTTGCGCTTATTGTTGTATTTAAGCTGTTTCTCCATTTTGTAATTTTGTCTTTAATGCTTTCTTAGTATAAATAGTATTTTCTTTGTAATTTTAGGAAAAAAAAAGTCTTAATCTTCATTAGTTTGTAATCACTTTGTAATCTTCAAGATATTGAATACAAAATCTTTGGTGAAAAATTCTCTCTTCAATTCAATTTCTATTCTTTGATTGAACTTTATCTGATTTGAAGATTTAAGATTCTCACATCCTTTGATGGAGTTGGTGGGCACTAGAGTCGACTAGTCGGTTCCGTACAGTACTATACTCTTGAAAGGGTATGGGTTTGTACTTTGTGTGTGGAAGGACAAGACAAAAACAATCATGCATGACAAGCTTCATTTGATCGCTGAATGCTGGAATAACGTTGGAGGTCTCTTCGGCATTCATTGAGGCTTGTGCAGTCTTCACACGTATGTTGACCAGGTTGTAATCACTGAATACCGCTTCAGATCATGAATGCACCAGTCACTAATCTTCAGTTTCAGTCTTCGACATTCACTGAAGGTTCTTGGGTGTGAGTTTGTGTTAAGTCCCATAATTCATAAAGTGAAAAAGTAATGAAAAACAATAAGTGATGAAGAACCAGAAGACCGATGAAGACATCAAGGCAGAATTGGCCAAGTCTGGAGAACAACCAGAGGGTCGATGGACGACCAGGGATGCGATGGAAAGAGCATCTTCATCGCCCCTCTGGTCAACAACACTTAAGAGAATTATTTAGCAATTCATCCAGAGGCATACGATGAAAATTTAAAGATAAGGATGATTTATCATACCATGGAAGACAGCTGGAGATGACAAGTCGACAGCTACACTTCAAGTTTATCTTAATATTAAAGCTTATCAAYARTTTAKATAAACATTATCTGTTAATAGAAGATTAGCTAAAAAGTCTCGTTAGATAGTTATCTTCTAATTAGCTTTCTAGTATAAATAGGTGATTAGGCCTATTGYAYTAAAYKTCTCTTTTTACGTTTTTCTTATCAATAAAGTGAAACATTTGACGCCAAGACTGTTCTTTATTGTTTATAATTCATTCTTGAGTGTTCATCACTTTCTCCATTAAAACACTATAATTTGGTTATTCTTAACTAGATTATTAGTGTTATTGAGAGATCTGGGATCAACATTTTGTATTCTTGAAGTATCGATGTCACTGTTGGATTACAATACATGTTTCAGCGATCACTGAACAGACTCAGTGATGATCACTGGAACTAAAAAGACAGAAACATAATACTTCGAAAGGTAAAATGGATTATCATCAAATCAATGAGAGAGATGATCAACACAACATTATGATATATCATCAATGAGTATGTATGATCTGTCCATCGACTCATATGCACTCTCATAATTCATTTGAGATTTCTTTGATCTCTAGAATCAATATTAACTTCAAAGTGTCCTCCAGTAATTATTCATAGACATAATTTTAATCAGAGACAATCTCGTAAAGGTTTATGTATTGACGATAAATGGTTGTGCCTTGCTCTTCTTTTCCTTTAGACGAGTATACATCAAACCAAGTAGCTTCCCCTATTTCCTTTTGGGAGCCACGACCTCAACCACACCTCCACCGTGTGTGATTGCAACGCACTTTCCAGCGGTGTTGTGTCCTTGTTTGGGGAGTTTTAACCTTGCGGGTATATTTACAGATGGTATATATGATCTTGTCATTCTTTGAATAACACTAAAACGTATCAGGTACCGAGTCTAATTCGTTTGACTTCAACTTTACATTATGAAGTTTGAGGATCAAAATGAGACAGAATGAGAATATATTATGACACTTCTTTTCGTTCCCATCGAAAATCCTTTTTCCTATCTTCCCCTAATGATGGGAAGACTGTCTCATGAAAGTGACGATCCGCAAATCTTACGGTAAATAGATCACCCGTCAAGGGTTCTGAATAGAGGATAATTGTTGGGGATCCATATCCAATATATATACTTAATCGTCTATGAGGGCCCATTTTAGTGTGATGTGGGGGTGCAATTGGCATGTATGTTGCACAAATAAATATGCGTAAATGTGAAATATTAGGCTCATGTCTAGTTACCAACTGGTACGCATAAAATGGTTAGCTAGCAGTGGGTCTAAAGCGAATAAGTAGTGCTGCATGTAATATTGCATAACCCCATGCAAAAGTGGGTGAATTGGTGTGTATAACCAATGCCCTGGCTACCAAATATATCCTTTTGATGGTAGCTTCTGCAAGACCATTTTGTGTATACGCATGGGGTACGAGATGCTCTACATCGATCCCAATGAGCAAGAAATAATCATCAAATGCTTGCAATGTAAATTCTCAACATTATCAAGTCTTATAGACTTGATAAGATAATCAGGATGGTGAGCCCCCAAACGTGTAATTTGTGCTAGAATTTTTCGAATGCAGCGTTTCGTGTTGACAATAGTGCGACATGCGTCCATCATGTCAGTGCGTCAACCAGAATCATAAAATAATTTAATGGTCCACATTCTGGATGTTTATATCCATAAATATCATCTTGTATTCATTGTAAGAATGAAATATTTTTGTATTATATCCCTAGCTTTTACGATGGTCTCATTCCTGTCTTGGCTAATAATAATAATATTAATAATAATAATATTAATAATAATACAATCATGTATATACCAACTAAATAGTAATATCAACCCATATAAAAAAATTTGTTCTTCAATTTGATTTTTACGCCCCCTAAAACATGGAGCGGTGAATACCATCACCAACAATAGAAAAATAAATAAAAAAATTGACAACAAATTAATCACAAAAATTTTCAAAGAAAGTAAACCTTGTAATTAATTTTTTTTCCGCATAAGCAACCATTTATTAAAAAAAGTCAATATCATATCATGGATTCACAAGTTGTGTCTTCAAACATTAGGCCACATATTTCATTTATCATATAATTAATAAACGTAAATTAAATAATTAAAGTTACCTCAATCAATGTGTTATGTTTATGAATCCTAACTTGCATCAATATAAAAATGCTTACTTGAATTATAGTAGTCGTAGAAGAATTAATTGATAAAGTGGCAGAAAGACAATGAGCAATGTGTTGATAACATGTTATAGAATAATATGAAGAAAACAATAATAGAATGGAGGGAATGAATGTATATTTCTCATTAATCATAGGACCTTTTCATAAGGATGAATTACAAGTAGATAACATCGAAATATTTTACTTATATTCTAACTCTAATAGTTCTATCTTTATTATCATATTCTTTAGACGATAACACAATTATTTTATAATAGGACTTGATTTTTTGAGTGTATCCGTTGATTCGAGTGCTATAAATAAATCGTTATTACTTCCAAAAAAAATCTTTATCAAAATCCAAAAAAACCAATGATATTGATGGGGCTGTATTGGTAATTTAGGGGCTGTTTGTTTGGCTCTTAATGGTGATATTAAGAGCCAACCTCTTAATCGGTAAGAGGTCAAGAGTGTTTTCAAAAAAAACAAGCTCTTAATGGTTATATTAACCTCTTAACCACCTAGAGCTTCACTAAACCATTCAGATGTTCATTTTTCAACCCTACCCTCCGTTCTTCACATCGCATCCCCCCTCCATCACCGTCTTCCCCCCTCCATTGTCGGTCTTCCATTGTCGGTTATCGGAAAAAACGAGATCCATCTGCGACCTCCGACGAATGTACGGACCAGGAACTCCGGCGTTTAACACCCCTTTCATAACCCCACGATTGGATGTGTTCGATGAAGAAAATCTCGCCGCTGCAGTTCTAGCAACTACAACATCTCGAAACTTCCTCCATCTCCATAACCTAGACATAAATTGAATCAATAAACGGTTTCAACAACTGGGATCTTTGTATAGTAGCAGACGCAAGTGCTATATAACTTGAGAATCATCTATCTGATCCATAAATTTATCCAAATTAGGATTATATGCGTGCGTTTCACACATGAAATCCGGAAATCGAGGCAGAAAAAGGGGATGGATTAAGGAATTAGACAAGAGAGTGAGCATTCGTGGGTGGAAAGCAAAGGAATCGTGAAGATGGGAACCAACAGGAATTGCTCTCTACTCCTACTGCTCTGTTTTCATTTCCCTTTTTTGAAATCGAGGGAGTGAAACCCTAATTTCTTTTTTGGTATTTGTTAGTTCAATACAAAAACATGACCAAAACATACAGAGGGTTAAAATGATAATTTATTGTCATTAAGAGAACATTTACCAAACAACTATATTTCATTCAGCACTTAACCATTCTGACCCTCTTAACCATTCTGACCACTTAACCATTCTGCACAAAACCGTTCAGCAACTATCAAATAGCCTCTAGTGTGGTAGCGGTGGTGAAGCACGTGCGTTGGGGGGGGGGGGGAACCCGAAATTTATACACACTGCATGCCATAAAAAAGGTAAAAAGATACAATTTTCCTCACAACTCTAGCCTACATCCATCCCAAACCTGAAAGAAACCCTAAATCCGCCATGGCCAAGAAGCGAAAAGCTCGTGCTTCACAAGCTACGGCAGAACAACTACAGGTTGAGGATCAAACCAACGATGCTGCTGCTGCTGCTGCAGCGGAGGAGCAAGAGCAAGGAGATGAACAACTTCAGAATTTGGAGGAGAATAAAGAAGACGATGAACAAGGAGAGGAAGATTTTGATGAGGACGAAGAAGAAGAAAACGAGGAAGAAACGACCAGAAACGAGGCAAAAGAAGTTAAGGTTGAAACCAACGGTGGAGGCGGACAGGAAACAGAATGTTTGGCGGAAGAGCCTGTAGATAAGCTTCTTGAGCCGTTCTCTAAGGAACAACTCGTCTTACTCCTGAAGGAGGCTGTTTCTAAGTACCCTGGTTTTATTGAAAGTGTCGAGAAGATTGCCGATGCGGACCCTGCCCACAGGAAGATCTTTGTACATGGTCTAGGTTGGGACACCAACACCGAAACCCTAATCAGTGAGTATGGGAGGTACGGTGAGATCGAGGACTGCAAGGCTGTGGTAGATAAGGTCTCTGGAAAGTCCAAAGGATACGGGTTCATACTCTTCAAACACAGGAGCGGGGCTCGGAACGCTCTGAAGGAACCTCAGAAGAAGATAGGGAATCGCATTACCTCGTGTCAGCTGGCTTCTGCTGGTCCAGTCCCAGCCCCTCCACCTACTGCACCTCCAGTGTCTGAGTACACGCAGAGGAAGATATTCGTGAGCAATGTGTCAGCCGAAATTGATCCTCAGAAGCTTCTAGACTTCTTTTCGAAGTTTGGGGAGATTGAGGAAGGGCCACTGGGATTGGATAAGCAGACGGGAAAACCTAAGGGGTTTGCACTCTTTGTGTATAAGAGCCTCGAAAGTGCAAAACAAGCGCTTGAAGAGCCACACAAGAACTTTGAAGGGCATACTTTGCATTGCCAGAAGGCTATTGATGGTCCAAAACCAGGCAAAGGTTTCTATCAACAGCAACACCAGCATCATCACCAACATCAACAGTATGGTGGTCATCATCATCCTTCTAAAAAGTCCAAGTATTCTGGCGCGGGGAGTGTTGCAGGACAAGGTCATTTGATGGCACCTTCGGGACCTTCGGTGGGTTACAACCCAGCCGTTCCTCCGGCATTGACCCCTGCTTTGGGACAGGCCTTGACTGCACTCCTTGCGACTCAGGGAGCAGGACTGGGGAATCTTTTAGGACTTGGTGGACCTGTGAACCCACAGGGAATGCCA